ATAAGTACGAAGAAAAAAAAAAGAAAAGAAAAGATACAGATGAGCAAGATAATTAGGCATTTCATTTTATTTTTGTCTCCATAGTGAGACTGAACATTTGAGCATACAAAATACAAAGGGAAAATACCCAAGTACCCCCTCAACCTATGCCCGATATCCCAGAGACACACTTATACTATACTAAGGTCCTATTACCCCCTGAACTTATTTTATATGTAATTTTCTACCCCTTTTTAGCCTACGTGGCACTAGCTCGAAAAAAAAGTCAACCATCGTTGGGCCCACAAGATAGTGCCACGTAAGCTAAAAAGGGGTAAAAATTATTAATAAAATAAGTTCAGGGGGGTAATAGGACCTTAGTATAGTATAAGTGTGTCTCTGAGATTTCGGGCATAGGTTGAAAGGGTGCTTGGGCATTATCCCATAATTTTATTTAAAATCAAAATAATTTATATTTATTCTAGAAAAAAAACACAAAAGATGATAGACTCGGCTTAATTAATCCAATTTTTAATTATAGTAGAAAAATTATAACTACTTATCGATAATTATATATTTATCGATAATTTTATTTAAAGTCAAAATAATTTATATTTATAGTAGAAAAAACACACACAAAAGATAGACTCGTCTTAATTAATCCAATTTTTAACCTTTCGATCACTGATATGCCCTTTAACTTGGCTTTAGCTAACATTTATGCCCTTTAATTCTGTGTGTGCATAAGTAGACGCTTCAACTTGTATAAAATTGATCAAATATCCAACAAAATGTGACATTTTCAATAAGTTATGTACTTACCAAGATAACAGCTTTGATGTTATCTCTTGTTATAGGGACTTGAAAATTGTGGCTCTCCTTCTCTCTAACCCTTAGAAGAAGGTGCAGAAGATCTTCCTCATCAACATTATTTTTTTGAATACTTTCTTCGTGTTCGTGGACAATTTCTTCTAGAAGGCGATCACATAATTCATGATGCATTTTCAGTAACTTTTGATTAGATCCTGTAATATATCTATCGAGAAACTTGAGGGAAGGGAACAAATCCGATATATTAAAAAGTCCCACTAGAGGTGTTATTTTTCTTATTGTAGATATCAATGAATCCGAATCGTTACAAGTCGCTCCAACGGTGGCCCTACAAATAATAGCACAAGAGAGTGAGTTGAGACACTTGTATAAATTAATTAGGGTACCTTTAGATGATGTCTCCTTAATATTTTCACCAAACGCGAAATCTCCTCTTCCATAAGAGGATAATTCGAGTGAATTCTTTTCGTAGTGAGGATCTCTGATGTACAAATTTTGCGCATTTGTTTCTGTTGTGCGGAATTTGAGATAATACGAGAAAATATAAACGCGAAAAACAAGACAACAGATCTGCCATAAACTGAAACTGTTCCTCCCTGTGAATTTGTCGATTTTCACGTTTAAAGCAGACATCTCGAATTCTCCAAGAACACCGATTAACCGAGAGGCA